ACAATAACCACACTCTCCAACCAGACCATCACAATAACCACACTCTCCAGCCAGACCATCACAATAACCACACTCTCCATCCAGACCATCACAATAACCACACTCTCCAACCACACCATCACAATAACCACACTCTCCATCCAGACCATCACAATAACTACACTCTCCATCCAGACCATCACAATAACCACACTCTCCATCCAGACCATCACAATAACCACACTCTCCATCCAGACCATCACAATAACCACACTCTCCAACCACACCATCACAATAACCACACTCTCCAACCAGACCATCACAATAACCACACTCTCCATCCACACCATCACAATAACCACACTCTCCAACCACACCATCACAATAACCACACTCTCCATCCACACCATCACAATAACCACACTCTCCAACCAGACCATCACAATAACCACACACTCCATCCACACCATCACAATAACCACACTCTCCAACCAGACCATCACAATAACCACACTCTCCATCCAGACCATCACAATAACCACACTCTCCAGCCAGACCATCACAATAACCACACTCTCCATCCAGACCATCACAATAACCACACTCTCCATCCAGACCATCACAATAACCACACTCTCCAACCAGACCATCACAATAACCACACTCTCCAACCACACCATCACAATAACCACACTCTCCAACCAGACCATCACAATAACCACACTCTCCATCCACACCATCACAATAACCACACTCTCCAACCAGATCATCACAATAACCACACTCTCCATCCACACCATCACAATAACCACACTCTCCAACCAGACCATCACAATAACCACACTCTGCAACCACACCATCACAATAACCACACTCTCCATCCACACCATCACAATAACCACACTCTCCATCCAGACCATCACAATAACCACACTCTCCATCCACACCATCACAATAACCACACTCTCCAACCAGACCATCACAATAACCACACTCTGCAACCACACCATCACAATAACCACACTCTCCATCCACACCATCACAATAACCACACTCTCCAACCAGACCATCAACAATAACCACACTCTCCAACCACACCATCACAATAACCACACTCTCCATCCACACCATCACAATAACCACACTCTCCAACCAGACCATCAACAATAACCACACTCTCCATCCACACCATCACAATAACCACACTCTCCAACCAGACCATCACAATAACCACACTCTCCAACCAGACCATCACAATAACCACACTCTCCAACCACACCATCACAATAACCACACTCTCCAACCAGACCATCACAATAACTACACTCTCCATCCAGACCATCACAATAACCACACTCTCCAACCAGACCACACTCCCACTCTCACTGCAACCCCAACCCTGCTCTCCGTGGTTGCCAGCAGCGCCCTCTCGCGCCAGCCACCCGCAACACTTCACGGCCCCGCCCTCTCGCGCCAATCAACCGCAACACTGCATGGCCACGCCCTCTCGCGCCAGCCAACCGCAACACTTCAGGGCCCCGCGTCGCGCGCTGTCACAGGGGCCAGCAGTGACGGGTCCCAGCCCAGCCACCGTGGACCCCTCCCCCCCCACTCCCAGAAGTGTGTCGAGCGGTTTTAACGAGGGACCCACCCCACCCCAACCATCGACATCAATCAAACCACATTTAGTACATCTTTATTTATTTATTTCTGGTAAACATTCAATAAGATACTAATTTTCAGGATCTCATACACGCGCGCGCACACACACACACCCAGTCATGCACATACAGTGTCACCCTGGCAACCGTGTCACCATGGTTACTGGTCCATAGCAACCACACACACAGGCATACTCACATAGATACACACAGCGTTACTCTAGCAACCATGTCACCATCGTTTTCATGACAACAACACACACAGACATACTCACATAGATACACACACAGCGTTACTCTAGCAACCGTGTCACCATGGTTACTGGTCCATAGCAACCACACACACAGGCATACTCACATAGATACACACAGCGTTACTCTAGCAACCATGTCACCATCATTTTCATGACAACAACACACACAGACATACTCACATAGATACACACAGCGTTACTCTAACAACCGTGTCACCATGGCTACTGGTCCATAGCAACCACACACACAGGCATACTCGCATAGATACACACACAGCGTTACTCTAGCAACCATATCACCATCATCATCGTCATGACAACAACACACACAGACATACATACATAGATACACACAAACAGCGTCACTCAAGCATCCAAGTCACCATCATCATCGTCATGACAACAACACACAAACAATGTCACTCAAGCATCAATGTCACCATCATAATATTCATAACAACCACACAAGTGTTGCATCATAGCCATAGCAACTACACCACTGTAGACACAGACATATAATCACGTAGGTATTTTATTCAAGCCGCATAAGCCGTGAAGCTCTCTATGCACTTTTAAATCTAAATTGAATTGTTATATTTAGAGCTACTATTTGTGTGTGTTTAGTTTGTTGTCCGATTAGCACGGTTTGCTACGCACGGTGTGAAAAGACGTTGAACATACACACGTGCATGGTGCATTGCGATTGAACGAGTCGACGAATCCTGCAGGGAAGTTGGGCAGCCCTCGCCTCGAAGCAGATTGCCTGTGCCCTTGGTTTGTGTGCGCTGCAGTTGCCACAGTAGGGGGCAGAGGTGGTGCATCGGACAGTCATCTCAGTCAGTCGACCCGTGGCACCTGGGTCCGCCCCGTGACCTCTGGGTCTGCCCCGTGACCTCTGGGTCTGCCCCGTGATCTCCTACCAACCTGCGGGCGTTTGACACTTCAGGTGGCTTCAACGTGCACATAGCCTGGCACAAGCGGCCGTGGGGACGTCACCGCCACTTAGTGGCGAATGGCTGTTGTTGTTGTTATTGTTGTGCGCTGTAGGGGGCGCTGCGGCACCGCTGCACGAGAGGGTAACATTCGCTGGAGCTGAGAGACGTCTTTATGAATGCCCTGCAGTGGGGTTTCCTGCCACCTGACGACATGGGAGATTGGTGCCAGAATGACGTGCGCACGACTTGGGCATTCTGTATTGGCAGAAGACGGAAGTGGAAACAAATGACGAAATATGTAGTGGACACCTACGAGCTGTCTGCCCCCATGGATCGAGGTCATGATGATGCCACCTGTCCCGGTTTGACCCGGAGAATCCGATCTTTGGGGCCGTCCATAAATGACGTCACGCACCTAGGGGGGGGGGAGGGGGTCAGACATTTGTGACATTGTGTGACGAGTGGGAGTTGGGTGAGAAATGTGACATCACATAAAAATGCGCAACTTTAAATAAATATAGACAACACGTGCTACTTAATTAATATGACTTTTTAATAAATGTTTTCTCCTGCAACATCAGAGTGCAGCGCCACATTAAATACGCACTACAATGACAATAGTTTAAAGCGATTTGAAGCATGTTTTATTTTCAAAATGGAAATATGGTTTTGGGGGGGGGGGCAGAGCTTTACGACGTCATATTTGGGGGGGGTCCAAAATCGTCCAAAATCGCGTGACGTCATTTATGGACGGCCCCTTTGGCCATCTGCGTTCGGGTTGAAGGGAATTTATTTCTCCCTAAATCTGGTACCGGTATTGTTGTCGACCATTATTGCGACTAGTATACTGCACAGTTCTGATAGACCTAGGCCGACGGATAAATGCGTCTGGGTTTGGTCGACAGTGGAAAAGGTGGCAACCTCAGCCCTGCACATTTGTTGCATTCTGTACTAAGCCCCTGCAGATGTAAGTAAGCCCATGTGGGATGGGGATCGGACTCGTTTCCATGACTCGTGTTGTGGTTTAGAGCTCTGTGTTCGGAGTATGGAGAGGGCCAAAATTTGGACAACGGGTTAGTACTCAGCTAGGGTTACACTTGGGGTCAAATTAGGGGTCCATTAAACAGGGGACAATTAAACAGACATGAGCATTGTGTAATTTTTGAAGCGGAGGATAAATTTGACTCTTGTTGTATCTTGCACACAAAGGCAGAGATGCTACTACAGCCATCCAAGCTGTTTGGTCAAGTGCTGTCTGTGAGTGCCTATGAAAGCCAGAATGGGCGCATGAGTGAGTTGTGTGGGCAGCACCATGCCTGGGCCATCTTTGTCTTTCCAGTGTTGATTTTTACATGCCAGGTGTTCATTTAAGGCTGAGTCGACCTAGGGGAGGCCCAGAATCGGTTAAGATGTCAATCGTCACGGAGGTTGGCTGTAGCTGAGAATCGAACCCAGGAGACTGAGTTCAAAGCGAAGTGCACTAACGGCTACACCACTGCTCCCCGCTTTATCTTACAAACGCACACACGGATGCATACATACAGAGGGTTGCAAGTGTCTTTTGATATTCTAATACCAAATTCGGGATTGGAGCCAGAAAACTGGCATGCTCTAATCTGAGCTAGGCTGCAAAGTGCAGTGCTTTTCGGTTTGTTTGATATACACATTACGACAAGGCTGTAATTATAATATATATTGGGGGACACACATCCCCCCCAATATTCAAATATGGACAAAATGTCCCCCCCCCCAATATATTGCTATAAAATAGATTTCTGTTTATATGATTGTGGTTATGGTTGTACTTTATAAATCCCTAATCTCTGCCATTACATACAATGAAACAAGAGAAGGTAAAAAAGAATAAAAAAACAGAGCAACGTAATGCAATACACTATTAGACATTGTAAAAAAATAATTAAAAAATCAATCCCATCGTTTTCAAATTTAGATTTTTTTTCTGGGGGGGGGGGGACCCTCAAACCCCCTGGAATATTTGGTCCCCCCCCAATGTTGACTCCATGGCTACGGCCTTGCATTACGAGGATAACGCACGAGAAACGAAGCGCACCCAACCCATTGCCATCGGGGTGTGGGAGGGGGGGTGTGGTTACCGCGAGTATTGCGGTGGTTCAGTCCAGTGGGATCCAGTGTTTGTGAAGACCCCCCAAGCATGCCGTTCCAGGCAGCCTGTTGGTTCTGAAGTTTCGTAATGGCCATGTCGGAGCACTGCACGCAACCAGGTGTGTGACTGCGTCAGGGAGCATGGTTGTGCATTCAAATCCCAGCTGTGAGAATGCTCGGCCCATCATCCCTCTGAGACCAATACAATTACTACTAATTTGTGGAAGTCAACAGTGTTTCGCCTATTGATAGTCCCGACCCCTTAGGAGGAATGTGGAATTTGCACCGCTGGCGTAAGGACTTCAACAAAGGTGAGCGTCACCCAATGTTTGCTCGCTCGTTGAAATGCCTCGTCTTTGTAAAAAAATAATCCTTAAAATCTGGTGGCACGTTTTGCGTTGGCAAATGAAGTGAGACGATATATGGGATGGGATGTTGCAGTAGTTGCGTGTTAACGGGTTGCCGCACTGAACTTGCAATCCAGAGATCGCCTGTCCGTATCTCCCGGCACGGCGGTTGTACCGACGGGGCGAGTGTCTCGAATCCTGCCACACGCTGTCCATCCACCGATATGAATGGGCACAGCACCGTTAATCGAATGGCAGGTCAAATGTGGTGGGGTAAAGTGTGAGTACGATCACCTCTTCCAAGACGATGTGGAACAGTAGGACAAAATGTACCCTCACATATCGGGTGCTCTTTGTTCTGTATCGTCGCCTATGTCATATCCAGTCTTTAAACCCCACATCGGCACGCGGTTTTTCTCTTTTTCTCTGGGTTCGCTGAATTAACTTCTATTTGTCGTCTTGGTGTTTCCTCCTCTTGTGCTATGTAATATTTATACATTTTTTTGTGATGCGAGGTGCCTTGAGTACTTAGTAGAAATGTGCTTTTAAAAATATGTCATGTATTTTTATTATTTTATTAGTATATTCAAATCTGGAATGGACATTCCCGAATTGAAAAACTCAGCCTTAAATCAGAGCTTGGTGTGGTGTTGGAGTGGCCATGAACATAAGCAAATAAACATCAGGCTTCCGACAATCGCATGACTGCTGATCACCCCACCACCACCTTCGACCTTAACACGTGTAGCATACACATGTACAGGCCTTTGTCAATCCACTGCCAGATGATGGCCTTCCCCACGCCGTGTTGGTTATTTTTTACTCTACTTCACCATGCTAGTCAGTGTGGATTGGTTAAGTCGTGGAGCATAGATATGGGGGCATAGAAGTACAGTCCTACACTGGATTTGTGCTGCACTGCCATCTGCTGCGTCCAGTGTAGCAGCACATCCTCAAAGCTGTCTATGGCAACATGGCATTCTGGTTGCCCATTCAAGCCCAATCCTGGCTTAAGCCTGCTTAGCTTTTTAGATACGACTAGATCTATGTCATTTGGAAACAATTACACGTATGCCACACAGGCTTTTCGTTGTTTGTTTGGGAGGTGCTGGAGGCTGGGTAGGCGCTGTGTGATTGTGCGGTCCTCCTTGGTTGAACAGCAGGACGGAGGACCCTTTCCTACGTTGACTCGGCCTCAAATGTCTCTTTGTGCCACCCAGCGTCCGGACCGACGTCGCCCCTGTCCCGCCCGCCCTTGGCGCGGCCGTTCGAGTCGGCCGAGCTGGAGATGGAGCGTGCGGCCTCGCGTCGACACTCGCACAGCTGCATCCCCGAGCCACCGCCACCGACGCTGGTGCCCCATTCGTACCGGCGGAGACCGTCGGCACCGGCCAACCGCGAAACGTGGGACGGCTTCCCCCGCTCACCGGTAACGCAACACACCGCACGCGCGGACACGCGCACGCTCGCCACTTCTCGCGAGCACATGGGCACAAAGACAAAGATCGCCACCCCCCCCCCCCCCCCCCACAAGGAGCCTTCACAGACTTGAAACGAAGCTTTTTATCTTACCAGGTAAGGCCCACTCAGCTCTATAGCTCATTTTCAGAAGCGACCTGGCCACAAATGATAGTTCGACGAAGTGGCTATTCATTTGGAAATGTATAGCAACCAACTACTCTAAACTCATGATTCTAAATGTGGAGGGACAAACCGGAGGACCCGGAAAAAAATCCACGCGGACACGGGGAGAGAATTTAACACGCAAACCCCAAATATACAGCAGGATATACAGCAGGCATCTGGGTCGGGATCGAACCCACGACCTCCTGCATACCAGGCGAGGTAGTTAACCTCTCCTAGCCACCGTGGTGCCCTTTTGGGGCAAGCATCTATGAAGGCTGGCACAGCACACGAGAGGGGTGGGTGGCCACCACCACGCCATTGCCACTGTCTATGGAGTGCACGGTTTGCTGCTTGTTGTGGAGAGAGGTTCGCGGTTTTAACCTGGCAGGCAACCCTGGTTTAGCGATACTGTGTATTGTGTGTGTGTGGTGCAACATTGTGGCACTCACAATGCCAACTTTGTATTAAGGCCACATTGAGGCTGTGGCCATGTTGTGAATGTGTGGCCCCAGTATACGTTGGGCAATCGCTGGGCCAATGTCGATCGGCCAACGTTGGGCCGACGAGCAGCATTTCTGTTGACCCATGATGTACACACAATGAATGTAATGGTCATTAGCCTAACTTCCTCCATTTCATATACTTACTCAACAAAGGCCGACTTCCTGTACACTGAAATGTCGTGGATTATCAGGGGGGAATGTGTGGGGGCGGGGGGGTGTCAGAGGTAGAGGGGGGTAGGCGACAAATCGTTATATGCATACTAACGGCCAATGCATTGACCAACGTTGGCCCAACGTTGGTCAACGTTGGCCCAACGTTGGCCCAACGTTTGCATGTTCACTGGGTGATTGTTTCGCAGCACATTGCTCACAGTTACTTATTGCTCAAGGGGGGAGGGTGGATCATCGTTGTACGAGGTGTATGGAATATTGTGTGCGAGTTCATGTTCAGTATTGTGCGAGTACGTTGCACACACCGCAGCGTGCGTCTACGCGTGAGCGTACCTTATATGCGATCGTTATCTTTGCACATTTTAGTTTTTATCTCGTTAAATCATCGTTGGGGCCCATATGTCCCATCGGCTGCATATCAAATTACTTCCCCACACCCGTAACCGCTGCGCCAAAAACAAAGAAACCTAAAAAAAAAGAGCGCTGTCTTTTTTTTTCTTCCGGGGCTGAGACTGAAACAACCTTTGTGTGGCTCCGTGAGCCCTTCGCGTTAATAAGTTAGCCTTTAACACGTACGGCGTCGTCGGTTCCACCACCACCACCACCCCACCCACCGCCACACTCACCCCAGCCCACAAGTGTGTGTGACAGTCGCCGCCTTGCTCACATTGCACGGAGCCCTCCTTCACGCGTGTCCCGTGCCAACCGAAAGCTCAACTCGCTCGCAGAGAGAGATAGCGAGATAGAGTAGGGTGTGGGGTCGGGCCCCCTCGACATTTGCAGGGGAGTTGGAGCCGTTGACTGCAACACCACGAGTGTGTTACCCGGGGGTTGTATAGCGGCAGGAGTCACGATACGACACGGGCGGGTGGGTGCCTCGTGTGCTCGGCGCCCTGTTTCGGCACACACCTGCCGTGCCACAGCGGGTACGTGGAGCGTTGCGTCGCACAGGTGTTAGTGGCAATTAGTGACGGGTGAATATTGTGCGGCACAGCACAGGTGCGAGGGCTACACACGAAACGGGGGTTTCCCATGCCGGCACACTCCCGTCTCGACTCAACGCAGCCGTAGAGCGTGCAGGTAGGTCATTTGAGCACACAGGTGCTTGTACAGGGATTTTGGGGGCTACCCCCACTACACACGGAACGCAGCTGTAGCAGCATACGGTCAGGGGTTAATATTTCATCGTACAGGTGTGTGGAGCTTCTACGACTGTAGTCTCTGAATTATAATAGACTACACACAGCTGCAGTGGTACGGGTAGTTACTTTAACTGTTACACGGGTGCCTGTGTATCGGTAGTTAAGTAGCTACCATCACGCGCACTGCTATAGACACAGCTGCAGCACCAGGTACTGCAGTGCTTGGTCTAGACACACATTGGAATACAGCGTGGTGCTGTATATTCTAGAATGTTTGTTAAGTGCCCTGTTCGATATGCGCCGTACTAATCAACACTTGAGTTTCACTGTATAAGGCAGAACTAAAGCATATTGTAGCACTGTAGAAATAGTGAACTTAGTCTACGTAGAAACCACACTACATCTGTAATCTAACTTTAGTTATACTTATACATAGTGAGAACAGCACTAAAGTACTACACACGTACTATTGTACCTAGAATGTGTATTAATATGTAGAACTCTCACGACATTATCACGACAGTGTTGGGGCATTGCACGTTACGGTGCCGTACTGCATCGCATCCCGTGATTGTTTTCGTAGCACAGTCCGTGGCTAGATAAAATATACAAGTCTGGCTGTTACATAGGGGCGACAACATAAGTTCCTATTGCACGTTGACGCTTCGAGATACGGCATCTGCGATACTTGCGGAGAACTGAAACGAACTAGTCTGCGCAGCTTAAACATAAGAAATAGATCGAACTAGGGGCAGCTTTACAGAATTCAACTCGGCAGTATTTATTTCTGGTTATCTACTACCGTTTCGTCTCGTACACTACGACACGTGTTGATGTTGTTGTTGTTAAACAGTGACAGGTCTTCGGTACTTGGAATCAAGTTTGAGGGGGTGGGGGGGGGAAACTCTCCTAAGGACAACCATACAACTCCCAGAAGTTCACTGCCTTAGACTTTTTACTGAGTTAGTACTTGTTGTTCTAATACCAGTTATACCATAGACATTGCACTTGATTTTACACAGTGGCAGCTTATGCTGTAGTTTCCCACACATTCACACAGGGCGACTCTAATCTGCAGTGCTTAGAAACACTCAAAAAAGGTGTTTTTGGTTTTAACTTTTTAAAAAACGTAAGGAAAAGATTAATCCAGAAGTGCAGTCTCTCTTAGCGGTAACTCAGCGGTGCCCTGTGACATCACCGGTGCCCTGTGACATCACCGGTGCCCTGTGACATCACCGGTGCCCTGTGACATCACCGGTGCCCTGTGACATCACCGGTGCCCTGTGACATCACCGGTGCCCTGTGACATCACCGGTGCCCTGTGACATCACCGCAGCTGCTTCATTCATTCACTCTGCTGGTCAGCTTCGGCGAGGAGTGGGTTGGTGGGTGGGGGGCTGTTCACCTAAGCGGGCTGTAGCATAGCAGGGTCAGTGGCAGGCAGTGGGGGGTTCTGGCCAGGGTGGGAGAGAGGCACGGGAGCTCCGATGTCCGTGTTCAACACCAATCTGCAGACGCTGCAGTCGAGGGTGCCCAGCACCATCTTCCTGGGATGCAGCAACCTGGACGCCCTGCACGGCATGGAGGTGAGGTTGAGGTGCCCCGGCTGCCTGGCCCCCACGGCTCAAAGATTTTAACTCCGGCAGGCTCTCGGTTATCCGCGATAATGACGGGGAGGACGCCCGCGGATAATTCAAAATCGCGGATAATCCAAAAATATCCATTTTACGCGGATCTATATGCCCAAAAATCCAGTAAAATAATTTAGTTAATGAACAAAACAAACATTTGTAGTAAAGCATGTATTGTTCCTGTTTTATTACAAAAGTCCATACCAAATCACTCAAAATGACGATTTCGAGTGTTACTCTTTCGATTTAAGAACGAATTCTAACGATCCGACCGATCGATGCGCTTGCTCAGTGATGATAACACTTTCCTGCTCCCGTGCAGAAGACTTGGCCCACACAGTGGATAACAGAGCCACGCCAATCGTCATCAATCCAACTCAACCTGTTGTAAATATATGCAACTCCTGTACTGCAGGGCCAATCACGTAGATTTCGGATTAACCGGAGCACATATTTGTTTGGTATAAGCACGTGACTTGTAATTCATATTTTCAAGAATAACAATCTATAACTGTTTTTAGATTCATAATTTGGGCTTAAGAGAGAATCCATGAGTTTTAATTTATGTCAAAATCTCGGATAAACTGCACGTGGATAATCCAGAGTTTACTATATTTTCATGTTATTTTACCAGGTAAGGCCCACTGAGCTATATAGCTATTTTTCAGAAGTGGCATGGCTATCACAAATGAGTAAAAATCCACGCGACCCACGAGATGCCGGGGTGGTGGGACCGGCAGGTGAGGAAGGGATAGGTGCGTTGTCTTTATGTCTGAAGGGTAGCGGTGTCTCAAGGCAGGCGTTTTTTTTTATTAGGCTGTGTGACGACATGCGTTTGTAGGGACGTATGTGTCTGCCTGAAGATGGGGTGTCTGCAAACAGTGGTGTGTGTGTGTCGTCTGTTTTGAAGGGGAGAGCAGTAGTGTTACGGTTGGCGCGCTGCGCTACGAACCCGGCGACCCGAGTGCGATTCCTGCTCACGGCCAACACTGGTGACGATTATCAGAAATGGTCCTGGGGCTCCCCTAGGTTGACTCAGCCTAAAATGAGTACCTGGTGCAGTGTGTTAACATCGCCACTGGGGAGACAAAGGCGGCCGGGCGTGGTGTTGGCCACCCACCCCCTCGTGTGCCGTGCCGGCCTTCATAGGTGCTCGTTAACAGCACTTGCCCCAACAGTCTGTTAAGGATATACGGGGGATCTTTGTCTTTGTTTTGAAGTCAGGAGTGATAGCAGCGTCCGTGTTAAGACGGGTGTCAAAGTGTCTGAAGACGGCGTCTGTGCAGACAGGGGTGTCTGATGACAGAGGTTCGAGATGTCTTGTCCTGGAGGAAGGTGGTGTCTGTCTAAATAGAA